CGCTTTAGACCATTGAGCGATCTCACCTTCATTTTCATTTTGCCCCATTGGCTTTATGGTTTTATTACTTTATTCTGTCTCTGTCTATCTCTCCGTGTGTGTGTCCATGCACAGCACACCCATATACACACATATACTCACACCTACACAAATACCTGCAGTCGGCAAAGTTAGGAACTTTAACACCAGTGTCCAGGTATCACCAGTTCACAGTACGCATGACGACGATCACAAAATACAGTGAATTCTTACACTCAGCTTTCGTCACAGCAGATGATGTTGCTACGCCTCCGCGAGCACACCGGCCACTTCCTTGTGCCACTTTCTGAAGCAGCTCTGGAGCCCTCCTTGCTGAGGGTCTTTCCATAGCTGCCTGAAGGTCCTGAGTCTGTGGAAATGTCTGCAGCAGGCGCTGTCAGGTAGAGACATGGTGCGTGCCCTCATCTGCCTTGTTCACTGGGCCTGGCACCACGCCCTTGTGGCTCTGCCTTGAAGTCAAAACGACCTGAATTGACTCAGCACATGCACCGGCCTCAGAACTGCTACAGAAAGTGGGGACGGGTGTGTTCAGGGGAGGTGAGGGTGGGATTGAGGGGAAGGCGTCCAGTATGTCTTTTATCATAATACAGTTTTTAAATTAAACCTTCCCGGTGTTTTGAGCTTACGCTGTGGCTGTGAAATGTCCTCGGTTTCCCAGTGCAGTCGTGTCGTCTGTCAATGCGTTGTCCTCACCCACAATCCACTCTTGGTCTCCTTTAACCCAGCACAGTTGTGCGGTCCTTCCTTGTGTGGCCAGGCCTTGGTGTTTTGGCCTTGGTGTTTTTGGATAACGCCATCCAGCGACTTTTAGAAAGGCCACATTTAGGATTATCTGGCGTTTGCTCATTATTGGGTTAAGATTCATGTGTGTCAGGATGTGGGGTGCCCCTCAGCCTACCTTTTAAGGTGGATGTGGCATGACTTTGCTCATCTGCTCCATTATCTATCATCTATTATATTATGGATCTGTCGCCTATTATCTATTATATCACTTACCATTTACTCTATTAAGCATCATGTGTTCTACCATCCTTCATCTATTCTATTGATTATATCACCTATCATTCATCCATCCACTCAGCCACCATCCATCCATCATCTACCCACCCACCCACCCATCCACCCATCACCCATCACCCATCCATCCACCCATCCATCCATCACCTATCACCCATCCACCCATCACCCATCCATCCATCCATCCATCCATCCACCCA